ACTAACACAGAAAAAATAAATGAATAGATAAAAATTAAATGATTAAATTGAGCTAAATTGAAATTTATGGATCTAATTAATACTAAAAAAATGAGTTGCAAAAAAAACAAAAGGTTAGGGGGACTAAATTGTGAAATATAATAAATATAATGAAGGATTACATTGAATTAATTGAAAATTCAGAGACAAAATTGCAACAGATGACCAAAATGAATAACACATCAAAAGTACAGGGGCTACAGAAATAATTTAAAAACCTCCTAATTACAACCTAGTCCCTCGGTTATAAATACCAAAAAAAACAACAATATTTTCAACCAAAACCCAAAAAAAAAACTATCTCAACCCCCCAAACACTCTCCCCTCTCCTCAACTAGCCCCGATGGCCAGCCACCGACCGCCGCTCACCGTCGCTCTGCCCACCACTTCCGATGGCCGAAAAATTACGAATTTCCCCAAAACACTCCTTTTTAAGCCCCGAATACTATCCCGAACTCTAAATCCTCAGAACTAACCCCAAATAACATAGATCTAAAAAAACGTTCGACTCCTACCTTTTCGATGTCTCTCTTCGGTTTTCGATGGTCGTTCTCCTTCTGAACCACGACCGAAATTGTTTTCTTGAGCTCTTTTTGATTTTTTCGCTACTTTCACGAATTGTTTTGCTCGGTTCTTGCTTGATGTTTATGTTGCCTTCCCATCGTGAATGCTTCGTTTTCTTTATTGTGTATTGGGTTTTTTTCTTGGTTGATGTTTCTGATTTTATTAGTGGTGCTTTTTGGTTACTTGGTTGCCTCCCGATCCCTCCTTGTTTGACAGATTTGGTAGGGTATTTATACCCTACCGTTGGTGCTTGTTTCTGCCCTCAACGGATTGTTCTCTCGTTCTCGTTAATTTCGGGCCGTTCGGTCGTTTGTGCAACCAGTCATCCCGGGGCCTTCATTTGTTGCTCCTGATGCTTCCTAACCGTTGGATCAAAGGGCCAGATCCAATGGCCCTTGTTTGTTCGGCGCCCTTCTGCTAGACATGAAACCCTAATCGGGTTGGGGCTAGGTTAGGTCCTTTACACGATTGGGCATCTGCTGGACCCGGTTTTGGACATAAAACAAAAAGAAAAAAAATGAAAAAACAAAAACAAACAAATAAAATGTAAAAAAATATAATATAAAATGTGTTCTAAAAATATATATTTTTTTAAAAAAGCTATATATAAATTTTCGAAAATGTTTTTTGAAACTATATTATATATATTTTCAAAAATGTTTTAAAACTATATATTATATATATTTTCGAAAAATGTTTACAAAATTATATATTATATATATATTTTCAAAAATGTTTTCAAAACTATATATTATATATATTTTCAAAAATGTTTTCAAAACTATATATATATTCAAAAATGTTTTCAAAACTATGTACTATATATATTTTCAAAAATGTTTTTAAACTATATATTATATATATTTTTAAAAAATTTCTCAAAACTATATATTAGATATATTTTTGAAAAAAAATGCTTTCAACACTATATATTATATACACTATGTGTATATTAAGTAAAACCCCAGACGAAAATGAGTGACTATAGTAATTAAATCTGTTTTTTTTTTGAATTCTTGAAAATAAAATCAATTTCATTATATAAATAGGATTAAACTATAATTTGCTTTGGAAATGGTTTGAGGATTAAAATATGATAAATGAAGAATATGATAGCTTTAGTCAAAAGGGAAGTCTTAGGCGCTCAAGTGAAAATAAGAGAAAATATAAATGACAAAGAGGTTAATTATACCATGCATGATTGTTTGAAAAAGGTTGAAAGGATAGAGGATTGGTTCCACGCTTTTACCATATTCTTTTCGATTACTTAAGTGACATAAACCCTAAACATTATGTACCTAAAAGAATTCTATAGGCCCTATCTTTAAATTAATGGATCCAAATCAAAGCCCACATATACAGGCTGAGATTACATATTAACGGGCATGTGTCGCTATCAGGGTGTCAGCCTTATTCAACTCAAATAATTGAAAACATATTTGACTGACAGGATGCTTGCTTGCCTCCACACGTCACCTTCACATTTCCCTATCACCCAAGGTGGGTGAATCATATGCCCTAATCGCTTTATTATTATTCATGTAAGAACAAAAGCATAAGTCTTTAAATTATATTATTTTTATGAATTGATGTTTGAATTATTTTTTGAATCATCTAAATATTTAAGGTGTGTTTGGTTCACGAAATGTAAGATTGTCAATGGGAATGTAAAATTACCAGATAATAGGATTACTGAGAATGTTGTATTTTGTGTTTGGTTAAAAGAATAAAAAATTATTGGAATGTATATTTGACCAGATTGTCTTTATTATATATTTGTTTTTTTTTGACAAGTTGTAAAATATTTATATATTTTCTTTAAAAAATTTAAATTCATATATATATATATATATATATATATATATATATTACAAAATTGAAAATATAAAAAGGTTTAATGAAATAGTAAAATTTTATTTTAACCCCTGAACTTCATATAAAATTTTAATTATAGCTTTTTTTTGTAAATCTAAAATAGTTTAAGGATAAATTTGTAATTTAACCTTCGTAGAATTTTTATTATTCAATGACAGAAGAATGATATTTTTGAAGAAATTTTTTAAGGGTATTTTAGTCCAAAACGTTGGTAATTCAACAATACCTAATGAAATGGAGGTAATGACATTCCCGATAATATACCCCAAAAATATACTATTGATAATAAAACATTACCGGGAATGAGATTCCCGGCCAACCAAACATGGGAATGTGGATTCCATTCCCATGGGAATCCCACATTCCTTAAACCAATCAGCCCCTTAACGTTATAAATATTGTTATTTAAATGATATGTGACATAATTTGATAATTTTGATAATTTATTTTTTTAAAAAAAATTAAAAATATTTTATTCTTGAAATATCATTTTTTTAAAAATATAAAAAACCCTAAACTCCCTAAATATCTTATTTTAGTCTCCTTTACTATAACTGTCGGTTATCTCCGGCCACCCACTTACTAGTCATAGTCCTTGCTATCATCTCAAAACCTAAATTCTTTAAATCCCTACACTTTAATCCCCAATTCCTAAAATCTCAAATACTCAATCATTTAAATCCATTTGGTCGATCGTGGTAATCAGTCATTTATTACCGTAGCGCCGACCTTTTGGCCGTTTGATCGGCCGTTTGGCTATGGAAAAGTTTGGAGCAGGCACGAGAGGGAAGGGAGAGGGGGTGGGCGCGAGTTGGGTTTTTTGATACTACTAATATTTTTATTTTTTAAAAGAAAAATCAAAATTTCAAAATTCTATGATTGTGACATGTGCCATTTAAGGAAATTTTTTAACACTCGTTACGTTTAAGACACGTAAAGTAGTAACGTTTCTAACATTAAACACCTTGATGATTAAAAATAAATAATGCACCAATTTATGAAAATCAGTAAAAGTCAGACACTTATTTTTATTTAAGCCTATATTTATTTATTAGTTGTTGCACACACTTTTCCCTTTCTCCAACATCCACGTCTCTCTATTTTTACACATGATTCTCTTCGTCCCCACCTACTCTTTCTGTAACTATTTCTTTAAACCCTCTCAAATCTCCATCCCCCTACTCAGGCGAAGCATGCATGGACCATTTTCATATTGTTTGAACGGCCATTAGACTAAAATTGAAGGTATTTGTGTGCTGCTGGCCGTACGACTTCGTCGAGTTGATTGAATTTTGTTGATGGAAAATAAATTTATCTTATCAATTATTATTGATTTACATCTTTTAATTTAAGTGAAGAGATGACTATTGAGTTGTGTTTCTATAATAGAGATAAAACCATAACGAGGAATATAAAAGTGAAGAATATAGAAGTGAAGAGGATGGTCTCGGATCCCCTCCTCAATTGTGGAGGAGAAGTATTTAAAAACGATTCTAGTTGATAACGTGAAGTATATGATCATTATTATTACTCATAAGTATGGAGGTTGAATTGATTTGGTCATCAAATTCTTAAATTTCGTCTCAATAAATCACATATGTCTGCCAAAGTTTATGACATTTTTTAATTTGGGAATATAAATTCTATAAATATTCTGATAGATACAAAAGATTTTTTTGAATGTTTCAATGGACGAAAAACTAATAATTTCCGAAAATTACTTCCAAAAGTGTGATAAACTTGATCCCTATTTTTATGTGCAATACTTTTGGAGTAATTATGTCACGTTTACACATAGATCTATGATCATGATAATCCTAATTTTCCCTTTAGTTTGGTTCGGAGTAACTATAAAAAAATGAATTTTAATTTAAGTATCCATAAATTCTCTCAGGCCCTAAATGAACTAATTAAAAAAATACTATATACTTGGGTTATTTGTCCACACTTCCCCGCTTTGGAATCCACAAATTTACAAATAAATAAAGAGGACACACAAACTACATATTTAGTCACTCAATTATCATTTTTAGTTCAGTTTTGGTCATCTAATTATTCTTTTTTAAAATCATCACTAAAATTATGTTTTAGTTTTATTTTGGTCACTCGCTATTAAAAGATTAATAAAATTACTGACGTGACATTTTTATTTTCTCAATGATGATAGTGAATTATCTTATGATAGCACATCACCATTGTCGATAATATTTGAACGGTGGTTGACCAAATGAAATCAAAACGTAATGTTAGAGGAGATTTTGAAGAAAAAAAATTAGAAAACTAAAATAGGACTTGGATGATTAAATATATAGTTTATCTTAATTAATTTCTTACTTGGATATTGTCTGACTAATTAATTAATTAATCAGTTTCTCTCTTTATAATTCAATCATTAGCAAATGGATCCTAAACTAGTTAGGAGAGTATAATCATCCAGGCTTTTGCGACAATGACATTGACATAATGTGGAAAATAAAAGAAAAACTGGAATGCAACGGATGAGACAAGGAAAGGTTGAGAGAGAGAGAGACAGAGAGAGAGAGAGAGAGAGACAGAGGTGCATGTGGAGCAGAGGGGTTGAGTTTTTATTTCTGGGTTTGGGAATCATGAAACACAGTGAACAAAACCTACAAGAGAATCCATCACCCAAACATGGAAAACCTTAGGAATCCAGCATCCCCCTAGATTCACCATCTTTTATGTTCTCTCTGATTCGTGCTGCTGCGTTTGGCGTGACACTTGCATGGAATATGGGAGGCTGAAGACCACAAACACTTCCTCTCTACCTCTGCTACTTAGCTTCACAATCCCATCTTCAAAATCCCAAGAGGAAAGCACAAGCTGTCTTTCATGGAGGAGAGTAAGGGATGCAGAAAACCAAACCACACCCACAAATCTCACCCGCTTTACTGTTTATTCTCCCTCTTCCTTTTCTCAGTCTGCTTATTGGTTGGCATCAGCTGCACATGTCAACAAGGTATGCTCTTTCTCATTACCTAACTAAACATGGCAGAAACGAAAACCTGGTAATGGTATATATCTGGTATGAATTGATGACACTCCATTTTTGACGCCAGATTTTAGGTTTCTACAGTATGCTAAAGCTGCGGATGGTATTTGTTCTCAGGTGAGTCAGTTCACTGTACTCTTCATCTGTATCCTGCTCCTGCACAGTATTACTTATTAGCTCTAAACATATATGTTTCACTGATCTAATACAACAATCGCTCAAGGACAATCGATGTAGACTTGAGGGTTAAATTTTCATGTTATGGATTTCATTAAGTGGATTTATGTATGTCGAGTGTGTGCGGACATGTTGTTAATAGGTTAAGAAGAATTATTGCAGCTCTTGTCCAGGGACCAAATCACACGAGCCTTCTCATTCTGATGCATGAAATGGAACCGTGCTATATGAGTAGGGCTTCACGCCAGGTCCATCATCCGAAAAAAAACAAAAAGAAAGCAACACATGTGAACCCTGACCCAGTACTGCACACTTTAGGATTTTCTTCTTAATTTTAAAGTCTCGGTAACTTGAGGTAGCAGAGCTCAGTTCTTTAACCCAAACCACTTACTGACTCGTAATAGTTTATATATTTGTATTTTTGTCTTCCCGTGAACGTTGATTTTTCTTCTCAGAGAGCGCACGGTATTTGTAGATAGGGATGGACATGGTAGGGTTGAGACGATTTTCGGTCAATTTGATCTCATCAGATAAAAATATTTTTTTATTTGAAATTCGATTTAACTCAGATTTAGGGTAATGATGAATTTAAAAATATTTTTTAGGTGAACATACATATGTTAGTAACACAAAAAATTTATACATATTCGACACAAATAAAATCTTAAGATGAACACAAAATTAATAAAATCATATTTCAAGATGGACATGTAGACTACCACTGTTTAAGGTAACTTCACAAACTTTAAAATTCGACCTGTTTTTTGTCAGAGATAAAATTTGTATCCAAACCGAGGCATAGATTTTGGTTTTCGTGTAGTAAATTATCAACTAACTAATAGTTTAAGTGATTTATGATTATTAAGATTCATTTGTCACAGGAAACTGCCCAAAATAATGAGGTGGCTGTACCCATTGACATCCAAGTACACGGTTTAAGCTTGGGCAGGAGATTGTTCAGTGGCCCAGGATCTTCACCGCCACGGTGCATCTCAAAATGCGGCGACTGCACGCCCTGCAAGCCTGTTCATGTGTCGGTGCCACCCGGAACACCGGTCACGGCGGAGTATTATCCAGAAGCATGGAGGTGTAAATGTGGCAATAAGTTGTACATGCCATGATGCTCTTATAATTTTGTTTGGTCGTGTAAACATATGAATAATGCTATTGCATATGACGATGGAGAGGCTATTGCTGGTTTTACTGTGATAATATTTTTCCTTTAACTTTAAATACATATATATATTTATATATGTAAATAATTGCATTTATATAGTATTTGTTAATTAACTGACTAGAGAAGAAATTACGAAAAAACTATATATTACGAATTAAACGATTTGAATTATTAAAGAATTATTGTTTTCTTTTAAGGTTTTAGGTTTGAGCACAATATTTATAGGGTTGTATGAGCATTGAGGAGTTACTCATTTAAAAAAAACGGAAAATTCTATGTTAAAGATCTTAAAATAATTTAAATGAAAAATTCTATGTTAAAGATCTTAAAATATTTTGAATTTAAGAGAAATTTATATATCGAATTAACGACTTTAATAGTTAAAAGATTATTATTATTTTTAGAGTTTAGGGTATGAACACAATGTTTATAAGGGTGTATGAACATTTATTGTAAAATAATTGAAAATCTTTAATTTTATACAAATACTCTCTTAAAATCACATAAACTTTTTTAAAAATAATTAATTGGGTCTTGTGTGTTTTAATTAGATTCTTTGACTTTAATTTTCCGTCCATCCAAAGCAACTTGGGATGGCAAACGGATACGGTTTCGTGGATTCCGCACTGCATCCGCTTCAATTGGAGCGGGGATGGGTATAATTTTAACGGGTAGTGGGCGGGTGTGGATTTATAAAGTGGTACCCGTCGTGGGTGGTGAGCGGGTAATGGGTTTGAGACATTACCCGCCCCGCATCCGTCCGCCTAGCTAAATATCTATTAAATTTTGGACCATTATGAATTTAGGTGTAATTTTAGAGACTAATTTATAAATTTTAATATTATATAATATATAACATATAATTTAACTAAATATTAAGGATATTTAGTCTTTAATCTGGTATTTAATTAGGAAAATATTCAGCTCTTTGATTAAACCCATAATCCCACTAACCACGTCACTTTCCATGTTCTTTAGCCCATGCTGCCCATCCTACCCATCCAAACACAAATTAGCCGTACTATAAGCATTAACATCAAAAGCAGCAGTTTTCATGTTCTTTAGCCCCTCAAAACCCATATTAGGCGCACTATGAGCATTAACATCGAAAACAACACAACAATCCAGCTCTGCGACTACATGCTCCCTATAATCTGTCTCCATAACATTCGTAGAGCCACTCCTCTGACAAATTGAAGCATGCGCTGCTACCCCGTCACGAACTGTCTGGGAACCAACTCCAACATCTCATTAGTTTGTTGTCAGAAGGGTCTAGATGGGTATGTCGCTAGTGGGTAGTGGGTGTGGGGATGAATTTGAAAATGTACCCGCGTGGGCGGGTGTGGATTTGAAAATTTGTACCCATCATGGGTGGTTGGGCGGGTGGTGGATTGAAAAATAGTAGGAGGGTATGGGGATGGGGGATAGGGTATCCGCACCCGACCCGCCCGTTTGCCATCCCTAAAAGCAACACTCCAATGTTGCTAGCCTGATGTAAATGCGTTTGCTAAATTAATGCTTAAGGTTTACTTTTGTTTTAGTATTATATCCAATTTATCATTTTTGTCTCTTTGATATTTTCATATCAATTTAGCATTCGAAATTGTTTAATTGCATCAATATTTAAATATTTACCATTGTTTTGGGTTTTAAGCTAGGGGTTAAGTGTTAGGGTTTAGTGGTTTAAGTTAAAGTTTAGGGTTTAGGATTATACAATTAAACAACTTAAAATGATGCGAAAATACCATAGGGACGAAAATGATAAATGAGTCTATTACTAGGACAAAAGTAGCCCTTAGGCCCTAAATTAATTATTAGGGTAAAATGATCCCTTAACTATAGGATAATGCTTTTTTGAGTCACTAACTATTAAAAGTTAAAAAAATGGTCTCCCAATTATAATGCATTATTTTGTTGAGTCATCTGACTATTAAAAATTACAAAATGGTCACTCAACTATTCATATATTTCAAACTAGTCATGTTTTTGTTAAAAATTGACGATTGTTTGAGCTGAACTTTAACACGTTGACTAAGATACTATAAAACCATATTATGATGTCTACTGGTATTGTCATTGCTTTCAAGCACTGGCTCGATGACACAAGATTTCAAGCATTGGCTATTTCAAAACATTGGCTCAACGACATAATGTAAACAGAGAGTCAATTCACAAAAATATAACTCAAACGGTTTTATGATCATATTTTATCATATCTCAATCAACATATTAACGTCTAGCTTTGACAACTGTCAATATTTTCTAATTAAAAAACAGAGTTTGGACCATATGAATAGTCAAGTGACCATTTTATAACTTTTAATAGTCAAAAGACTCAAAAAAGTAACATCTTATAATCGGATGATCATTTGTGTACTTAGGGATGGACCTAGGGGGAGCGGGTAGGGGCAGTCGCCCCCTTAAAAATATAAAATTATCATATATTTTAGATTTTTTTTCTATGTATTTTCTATTGAAAATATGTTATCACCCCCTAAAATTTTATAAGTTCAAGTTTTCTCCAAACTTAAAATCCTACGTTCAAGTTTTCTCCAAACTTAAAATCCTACGTTCGTAGTTGTGTGTACTCTACCTTAATTATTAATTACAATAAAGTTTGTAGGAGGCTGTGAATTGTCCAGGAAAATTGTACACAATTTATTAAAAGTTTGAATTACATAAATATCCATTTATATTTTCTTCAAAACCTAAGTTTCCAACATGAAATTATATCATATTATACTTCAACAATACCACAAAGTTATCATATAAAATAAACTGTGTGAGATAATTATTTTAAAATAGGTGTAAATAAAATTTGATGGAGATTTTTCTATTAATTTAATTCAATTCGTTATGAATTGATTCTAATTCAATTTTAAAATTTAATTATATTAATTTTAATGTATATTCAAAACTGTTGTAACTGATGAATATAGGGTTTTAATTTACTACTATATATATTTAAACTATCTCAAGTGTTTGGATTAGTTGATTAGGGTTGTTTCATCTTAACCAAAAGTTTTAAATTTGAGTCTTTTTAAATACAACAACATTAAATATTTGATAAAAAAAACTATTACCATTGTAATCCTATATAATTCATAAAATTAATCTCTATTAGACGTTTGTAGATAAGCAGAAATACTCGCAATAAATGTGATTTTCAATACAATTTAGGGTATGTTTGTTTCACTGAAAATAGTTTTCGGAAAATGAAATCTGAAAAATGAATTACATTTCTAGAAAATATTTTCAAGAAAATATTTTCTAGTGTTTGGATGGTACATTGTAAAATGTTTTACATTGTTTGGTTAATTTTTCTGAAAATAATTCTCAGAATCTGTTTTTAATAAAGAAGCATACATACACAGATAAGAATGATTCAATAGAGTTTTTCAGCCGTCATTAAACTCATTTTTCCTTGTAAATTCGTAATCCTAATTTAGGGTTGTACGGATTAGTAAGGCGTGCCCACACCTTAATTGCATACTTCTTCTGCAATAGCTCAGGATGAATAAGTTATGCCCACGCCTTAACTGCAGAATTCTTCTGTGATAGCTCAGGATTTTGCCAACTTCGTAATATTTCAGAAATGTTATGTGAAGAAAGAATTTGGGTTGGGACCAATTATCTAAATTTCGTTTCTTTTTTATGGCTGTCCCTTGTTCCCAAACGTAATGGGATAAGGGGAGGTAAGATAGTAGGCTGCCCCCAACATCAGGTTTAGAGCAGTTTCCGTAGAAGACCTCCGAATTATGAAATGCCCTCCGTGAGACTTGATCCCACGACCTCAAGGTAAATTTTTTTTTTTTTATGAAATGACCGTCCAGCTCAGTTGGTAGAACACAAGGTTCTTAATCTTGAGGTCGTGAGATCGAGTCCTATGGAGGGCATTTCATAATTTGGAGGTCTCCTACGGAAGCTGCTCTCAACCTAGTGTTAGGGGCAACCTACTATCTTACATCCCCCTTACCCCATTACATATGAAAACAAGGGACATTCATTTCGTTTCTTTTTTATGGTATGATATGATAACATGTAAATTTACCAGTCTCTCTAATTCCAAATCGTATTATGGTGAGTATTAGTATGTTACTACCATGATTACAATGCTATTATAATGGCATTGAACATATATGACAAGACAGAAGAGTTTCATGAAACAGCTCCAAAACCATTAGATATTTATTCTGGAAACGAAATACAAAAGAAGTTATACTTACATAAAATTTGGAACGAGCCGGACTATGTTTCATTAACATTCGCCAAATCTAACATGCAAGGAAAAAAAACATTTACTAGAAATTTACAGCCAAATTAAGTGTTATCCATTGGAATATCATTGCAACTAGTTCTGCTAGGTTTTCAGAGATTCTTCTCCGGCTCTGCTGCACCAATTGTAAACTTGAGCGGCCAAAGGACAAAAGTAGACGGAGTACCAAGATTACTGACTGGAATTGGAACTGAATCATCTGCCTTTGAGAAGCAGACATTGAACGGGGCTCCGGCAGGTTGGAAGGCAAGAAAAGCAGGGTTATTGTCATGTGATGATCAAAAGAGCTTTTGCTCATATTCCTGCAACTGCTGGTAGATAGCTACCAATCACAAGCAAATAAAAATCAGAAGATAGTACCGCTTTCAGGAATCATATATCAAAAACTAATAATGGTAGCCGCAAAATCACACAGCAATGAACGTCACAAAAGATATTACGACGGTCTTTTTTCCCCTCATCCAAAAAATACCATGTGATATCCCTATGGTTTCAATTAAGTAGATGAAACAGCGACATAAAATGGCTTCCATGATATTAGGTAATCTATGCCGGGGCTGATAAATACCTTGATTTATATCAACAGACGGTCTCCATTCTTTCACAAACTGATAGTTTTGGGGAAGTCTCCATCCTTTAGATCTCATCAAGAAAGCTATTACAATAACTGGAGCCTTATCCCTCTCACATTGCTCTGCAGAAATGTACCATGGGTCATAATATGGCAACAAAAATGTAAAAATCATGCAAAATGTCAACTAGAAGTGTCCGCGCTATACAACCGACAGCTACTAATTACATATTGTTTGTGTATTTGCAAGCGAACTCTCCAACTCCCATTTTTATCTAGGTTAGTGACGGGGCATCACGAGTAGAGCAAACCACGAAAAGAATAAAAAGCTGGAAAAGGTGATTGAGATGTGGAGAAAATATTGCAGAAAGGTTTCAATATTGTGAACATGCAGCAGAATACATGCTGTTATCGATGAGAATTGAGAAAACCAAAAAGTGACTCATTGTGAAACTATAAAAAGAGAGATTATATTCAGTAAATGCTTCTCATGAACTAAAGAGAGGGTGAATTATTAAATTCTGCTCAGGCCAATCTCTTGAAATTTGCAAAGGAAGAAAATTGATACGAGAAAGAGGGAATAACAAAGCCTCGCACAAATAAAGTGATACAAAAATTAACCTTTCAACCGCAAACTGAAACTCCGTGATGAAACACAATGGTTACGCACCTAAAAATTGTATTGCATCATCAAATTGTAAAATTTTGTAATCTTGCAGACAGTGATAGGTAAATGAATTCTTGTAGAGATTTTAACAAGCAGGTACAGTCTGCAAAGAAATATTGTAAACAATATAAGAATATGCCATAACTGTAAGCTACAATTTAGATGCCTAAGAGCCACCAATATGTATTGAAGCGGAAGCAACATCAAACAAAGAGGAGAACAAACTGCACAATGAAAAACGAAAATGAATGGATCTTGACACCATCAATCCTACAACATTCCCATGACGATCCTTCCAATCACATCACTGATAGCATTGGAAGTTCACAAACTACTGGCTTACTTAGTTGAACGGTTATGATTTTCAACATCAAAAACATACTTGTGGACCTGTGGTAGTGCAAGTCCACAATCCCAATTTTTCTTCAGCCCTATTACACTTTACAAAGGAAACCTTATCACAGTAGTTAAAATAAATTTTGATGCATATATCTATCTCAATTATGATGTATTTGATTCAGTAACATTCAAGGTTTAACACAGTATTAACCATCCACCCTCATCTTCAAACTATCATTATATGCTTACCTACGTAAACAAGTGGCAATGTTAATTATCCTATTTTATAATTCAAGATACAAAATCTTACAACTTCAATTTACGACTATTCTACCCTCATTTTCTCCTTTTGAAGGCTAAAGGACCTAAAAGCAACAGAATCGCTCTTACTACTGTTTGACCATCAGATCTTTCAGTTAATTTGAGGCCTCAGTTCGATAAATTGCACTCATACAACCTGTTCTGGTGTTGCCTCAAATCAATATCACACATTTGATATCAAACTTCTTCCCCATGTTTCCAAGTTATCATTAATAAACATGGTGTTAGCCTTATTCACAAATAGAAAGCACCAAGGAATATTCTCCATTATCCCAAGTAAATCCATTGGAGCTGGATAGTACTCCTATTAACTTAACAGTATTCCCAAAGAGGTAGCCAATTTTTCATCCACACCCTAAGCATACAGATAACAATAGGACTTCCATAATTGGTACTACAACTGACAAAGGAATTTTCTAGATCAACAAAGTTACAAGATCTTACTCCTATAGGCTTTGCTTGTTATTAAGTATGGAAAACTTGCTAATCTAATCTTTACCATCAAAATACAGAAATCCCAAAATTCTCTTTCTTCAAATACTTAAAATAGAGAAATCCCATCAAAGTTCTTCAAGTAGCAGCATAAAAACCTCAACATACATCACAAAACCTAATCCAAAAATTTACGCTTTCTTGTTCCAATTAGCAAACAATCATAAGTAAACTTCTCCAAATTATTCTTAATCCCAAAATCCATAAATTTAAATCAGAATAAAACCATAAGCAGATAGTATTAACATTCGCAAACAGAAATAACAAAAAAAAAAGGGGGAAATAAGGAGGAAGAAGAAGGAGGTTACATTAAGGACTCGAGTAATTCACCGAGTCCTTAGAAGCTCGGAGCCAGAAGCGTTATCATAGCTACCCAAATAGAGAAAGTCAGGCAAGATCTCCGATGGGAAAGCACTGACTTGAAGCGAATTCTTGTCGGAAGAGACAGGAGTTCTATGCCCACATATCCCACAAACTTCCCCTTCCTCGTACTTGTGATAGTGCCCACAGATCCAACACGGATTCTCCCTCTCCCTCTTCCTCATCCCCACTCACCACCCAAAATAAACAAGTACGAGTTTTAGACAATATCCAGATCGAAAAAACCAACAAAGCTAAAGACCCAGTCTTTTTCGCTTGGGAGACGAAGAGTTTCAATGTGGAGCAAGGGACGGGAAAACGAAGGAAAATGACTTACCCTTTTCCAAAGGTAAGTCATTTTACCGTGTTTTGCTTTGAGTTTTCCTTAAGATAAATTATATCGACTTTCTTGTTTTACAGAAACATTTTTCGTAAAATGTTTCCCCCAACCAAAGGGACCCTTAGTGTAGTGTGTATAAGCCTCTGGCAACAGCATAAATCGGTACATCCCTGTATTTGTAGAGACGTAGATTGAGGTGAAAATAAATACACCAGAACCACAATGCCTGAAAAGCTACCCTTTTTCCATTTACATGTAGTTCAAAAGTTTCATGCATGCCAAAAGCAACGCGCTTGGTCGATAGAACATCAGACTCTTGCATCTCAAATATGGTTATATATAGAAAAGTTCCATGCATAGAAATTACATCTGCCATTTACTCGTAACCAAACTACAACACAACAAAAAAAAGGGGGGGACAAATGGGAGCAAACTGAAATTCCAACACCCAAAGTGACAATTTTCAATTGTGAAACGAGAAAGCTTAAGTTCACTTCAAGGTTGTCAAAAATGGCATTCCATCAACAACTCGTGGCTCTCCCAAGTCCAATGTCCTAATCATGAGAAACAAAGAACATACAATTAGAATGATAGATGACATGCCAAAAAAATTATGGACTGATTTAAAGTTCAATACATTTTCAATAGACAACAGAAGCAACAACCTACCTGTTGCCTCAAAAGACTTCCATATCTCCCAGCAGAAAAATCAGTGCCTCAAAGGTACAGCACCTGAGTTTGGGCAGTCTCTGGCCCAATATCCAGTTTGATGGCACTTAAAGCACTCACCAGATACTCGGCCAACAGTTGTCCCAGAATACATTCTATCAGAATAGTCCCTGCCAACAGACTGTATCGGACTATTCATGATGGTAGGACAATTTGTAGAGCTATGACCAGTAACACCACAACTATTAAAGAATATATTCATGCTTGAAGCAGTTTCTCTAAGCCTAGAACCACTGTAATGGTTTCCATATCGACCCTCTTGGTTTACTGGCAACCCATATTCTCTACTAGCAGTTGTCGGTGCAATACCCCTGCTTCCATCAATCCCAACCCCAGCAGCATAACCCAGACCAGGATTAGGAGTGCTGAACTCTTCCTTTGATGCAGAAGGACCAAAATTATTTGTTTTAATCTTCTCGATCAAATCCAAAAGGGACCTTGAATCTGATAGAAAATTTTACATTTTTTACTTTCACCACTGTTGATTTCACACGCTGTTCATCAGTAAAAATTTCTTCCTTCACTTTCAACTTGAATATATATTTATTGAACATAACTTTACGTGTGATTTCCATAAATTCAATCAAAACAATCGGGATTTAAAGAACAACTAGAAGGAAAACATAACAGATCAAGATTAATTCTTCTGGAGAGCAAAAATCGATTACTGAAATACATACATAAACATATCACTCAACAAACATGCAAAAATAATCAAGAAGATTGAAAAGAAATCTTTATTCAGTAAAACTATAGAAAAAAGACAGAAAAGAAAATGAAATAAGGTGCAGATGCGTGAGAATAGGAAATTTTCTTGAGAAAGAATGAGTTGAAAAAAGGCACGCTACGACGGAGAAGAGAGACATACCTAATGCTGCGCTGGTGACAGATGATGCTGGTGACCGGAAGTTGACAAAGTCGGCATGATGCTGTGATGGTGACAGATGATGCTGGTGACCGGAAGTTGACAAAGTCGGCATGATGCTGCGCTGGTTCGGGTGGGTTGCTAGGCGTTGCGTAGGGAAATGAATAGAAGAATTAGGGATTTAGAACTGGATCCGTTAAAGGACAAAAAAACTACGGCGCCAATATATAGTAATATTGCGCGTTTTCAACACTAATACCATTAATGTACGGTTATATCGCGACCTTTTTATCACAAACACCACTAAAGTAATTACAGGCTGTGGCTTTTAACCATAAATGTCGCCGTATTCCAATAAATAACGGCGTCTCCTTTTTACGTCATTAAAGTTTCTATTTTGTGGCATTTTTTCGAAAACGTTGCGTTATGTAAAAAATGGCAATATTTGAATTAAAAACGCCGTTATAAATTTATTTTTATTGTAGTGAGGATTGCCTTCGGTTCTGCAAAACGTGTTTAAAGACCTAATGTTTTGTAGAGAGTGAGACTCATCCGACGTGAAAGAATTTTTTAGATAAATCAATTTAATATCACGTTCTGTAAAATGTGAGGTCCACAAGAAATTGAAGCAACAAGATTATATTGATCTTTTGGGACAAGTGATATGCATAATTTAAAAAAAATTCATAAAGTAATATAAAAATCCTTAATAATAAAATCAAAATTTAAAAATACATATTATAATTTGAAAATATATATAATTTTAGAAAAATTTCCTTATTTAAAAACAATTCTAATTTCTAATAAAAAAATCTAATAAAAAGTATTAATCTAATAATATAAAATATCTTAATTAAAAAATACTTACTTTAAAAGGATTTAATATAAAAAAGTCCTAATTAAATATAATTTAAATGAAATCGTTTCATACCACCTCATGCAAATATTGTTTTGTATTTGCACGAGGCTAGTTTTGGTTACGTTAGCAGTATAATTGGTGATACTAAATTACAACCTCTACTGATAAAACTTGTTAGAAAGGTGGAGGCCGGAGACACATATGTTTCATTTTGTATTTCATCTTGGGCTATCTATTAATAGAAAGGCTATTATCGGTGTTGTTGAAGATAACTGGTATAGCTTCTGTTTGGAACTGCTGAGAATTCCTCCAAACAAGTTGGATGATGATAAGATCAAGATTAAATTTTTGGACGATAATTTTATGTAGTTGCCCCCGGATGCTCCTCTAGAGATTAAAAAGGTTAATATAATTTTTGAAGTTTACAATAACTAGTTGGTTTACTGAGATGAGTTATTAAATTACATAAGTAATGTTAGGGGTTTGAACCCTAGTATTTTCGGATAGAGCAAATGGGTTGGGAGGATCATTCTCGCCTCTGAAATATTTGATCTGGATTAGTCCGTCAATAGATCGGATAACAATGATTAATTCAAAAAAACGATTGTTGGATTGGCATCGTGTGGAGGATGTATGTGGATGTATGAAATGGGACTGAGCAAAAACATAGTATAATCTTAGTTTAGGTAAAACTATTGATCATCGAATTAATTTGATCGATGAACAATTAATTTTTTAATATTCGATTATTGATTAATTTGATTCAAAATTAATTAATTAATTGAAACGAATTAACCGAAGATATTAAATAGTTAATATATTACATATATTAAATATATTTTAAGCTTAAATCAATTAAGAATTAAGACATAACTATTTTTTAATCACATTAGACCCATTGAATTGTCAAAATGTAACTAAATTTTAACTCAAATAAAAATATATCTATTAAACTCAAATTAATCTAATTAAAATAAATTTATAAAAAAATTTGGTTTGGTTAATTATTTTTTAAAAAGCTCGGTTCGATTAATAGTTAAAGAAAAAGTTCAATTAATTCGATTTTCAGGGAAATTGGTCGGTTCAATGGTCGAACCCATCGTTTGAACACCCAACATTTTAGGAGTGAGTTTTGATCGAGCCGAGTAAAAAGATTCAAGTCACTTGAGTTGACGTATCATATTTTATAACTCAAATCTTATTTGAAATTTTTTCGAATTGAGTTGAACTATTTGAATTTTTATTTAAGTTTAAGAGCATACCATGCCAATAGTCTCATTTGTTTTCGGTCTGTCCGACTTTAATCACGATTTTTAATTAAGTGCTCTTGGTCATTTACGTTATCGATCCGTTTAAATCCCTCGAATGTTAACCTATTAACATAAGTGGGACATGGCAATTTAAAAAAAAAAAACACATTCACCAGCTGGGCACTTCTTCTTCTTCTTCTTCTTCTTCTTCTTCTTCTTCTTCTTCTTCTTCTTCTTCTTCTTCTTCTTCTTCTTCTCCTCTGCACATGGGTATAAAAACCAAAAATTTGGTTTTCAGCTAATTTGACTCCTCCATCTCAAAATTAGAAGAGAGAGAAGCTCTAGAATCTTGTGGCCGTCCACCTTTCACCGCCGGCTTTAGGTTTTGCCGACATCCATCTACCACCACCCTTCACATGTCTCCTCTTCCTCTTCTTCACATTAAACCACACATGCCCATTTCAATTCATAAACTCATTTATCATCTTTCAGTGTTTTACCTCGTTCTCCATCCGATATCAGAAATCCAACACAGCCCTCGCCTTGCCCGCAAGCTTCCACAGTAACCCATTTCGCATCAACATTACCAGCCTCATTAGGAGACCTCGATCGTTGCCCCATGGCTCTAGTGCTCGAGTGTTGGTCCAATCGAGCCACTACCACCACAGATGATGACATGGTTGAGTAGGTTTTCATGCGCTCTAATGATCGATTCGAGGACACCTCTATCTCCTCCTCCTCCATTGCTTCTTGAGTTCTTTCGGCATGCTCGAAGCTCCATCCGCCAACTTATAATGTTGGTGAAAGTTTCCTTTCAGCTATGGATTTTGTTTTTCAACTATGATGCTGAAATGTTTCTATTTCTTCTCCCTAATTTTACTGCAAAAATATCACACCTATAAGCTCTCTCTCTTTATATCTATCTATATATATATATATATATAGGGTTTTAAAAAACGGTCTGCGACCGCGATTTCGGCCTCGATATAGCGATTTTGCCACCGTTCGAGTTATTCGCGACGGCTGTAATAGCGTCCGCGACAGCCACACGGTAAATTCAAAATAACTGAAAACGTGACCGCGATCGAGATTTAAAACTCTTAATAATATATATATATATATATATATATGCACGCCAAAATTATAATTTAGCATAGTTCATGTCAACGGTGGAGGGAGGAGAATTTCAAATATATAGTTTATTTTGCACGGTTTTGTCTGTGGAAGAAGAAGAAGAAGAGAAATGTGGAGGGAGGAGGAGGATTTCAAATAGTTTGTTTTGCATGATTTTGTCTGTGGGAAGAAGAAAGAAAGAAAGAAAGTCAAACTGTTGGTAAAAGGTTTTGATTAAATAAAGAGTGTGAAGTGGAAAATAAAGAGAGTGAAGCCAAAAAAAAATGGTACAGTACACTTAATTAGAAAATCCGTGATCAAAGTTAGACCGAAAATAAGGAGGACTATTGACATAATTTACCCTAAATTTAATTATAAATATTTAAAATATTATGATAATAATTGATTCTAATTTTAAATACTTTCTATAATCATATATATATATATATATATTATGTAGATGTGATATATTTTACTCAAATTCAAAAATTAATTCATTAAACACTTTAAATTTTATAAAATTAAATTAAATTTATAAAATTATAAATTAAATCACGTTAAATTAAAAATTTTATTTTTTTTAGTAGAGTTTTGCTCACCTCACGTTATATATACGCACTGAATGGCCCAAAAGATAAGTTGACAGAGGCAAAATTTGTGGGTCTATTCATTCATGCAGGAACAATGTCTGGCCCAATTTACTTTCAAATCTTCCAACTTCAAATTAGGGCAGAATCACGATTGCGGAAAACAAAACCCAAAACCACAGAAAGCGGTAAAGGCTAACCGAGCCGTTCATGTGGTTTTTTTTAAACTGAAGAAAATTTGTTCTTAAGGGAAGATATTGGTTTTTTACTTTTTTTTTGTTCCTGGGACTGTGCTTTCTTTGTCTTCTGTTCCGGTGAACTGGGAAGTTGAGAATGTCTGGAAAGGCAAGCTTAAATCTCAAGCTCAATAAAAAACCGAAGATTTCTATGGGGAAACCTAAGAATTACATTAACAGGGAAGGCACTACACCTAGTATTGAAAAGGGCGGTGTTACTCTTGGGAAGAGCAGCTCTAATAGTAGAAAGCTCAAGGGTGCAGATGATGGGAGAAGAAAGCGAGTTGATTCTCATCAGTTATTTTCATTTAAGATCGATAAGAATTTAGAGTCAACCAAGACGAAGGCTTCGTCTGGAAAACACTCGAAGATGGTCAAGAGTGACTTAAAAAAAGGGAGACAAGGCAATGGCAAAGCTTCTCCCCCGTTAGAGTATGTTACTAACACTGGTAAAGCTACTTCTCATAACCCTAAGAATGCCAGCAGGAGTGCGGAAGAGGAAGCTGAAATGGTTAGTGCACCAAATGGTCCATCAAAGAAATATGCCAACTCTAATGCCAGAGCCAACTCAACTAAAAAAATAGTTCGGGTTAAAAAAACCTTAAAAACTGATTCAGAAGTTGTAGATGATAAGCCAAAGAAGAAGAAGAGAATTCGCTTAGATCCTTATGATACCTCAAACAAGAGGCTAGATGATGGCACTGCAATTAATGGTCAGTATTTGCACCTTCTTCTAATTGTACTTGTTTGAAGTGGATTTTCTTTTATTTGAACTTCTTTTATTTTTGCTGTTTCTTTATCCTCTCCAGAATGTAAGAAGGATAAGAAAAAAGATTTGGAGGAAAATGCTCCCATGTCAAAAAATGCGCAGTTCCGTGGAATACAGCCGAGTCCCTCCATCCTTTCCTTTGTGGAAGATAATGTAATTTGTACGCCAAGTGCCTTGAGATGTCTGGACTTTAAATTCACATCTTTTTTTTTCATACTGACTTTTGAATACCATTTACAGTTGTTAGGGCGTAGACGCACTATTGAGATCCAAAGAGCTGGCTATAACACTCAGCTTTCTGCCCCATTAGACAATATCTCTTTCTCTACCAAACCTGAAAGGGAACGCATTGATGAAAATGTGTGTTTTGTTATTATTAATGTGATAATTAG